TTGTTGTTTGGCGGGCCCAGGCTGGGGATTCGAACCCGCCACCTTAGGTGTATGTGGCTGGCGCCTTAGCCACTTGAGCCACAGGCGCCGAGCCTGAAGAACAAATTCTAAATAATCAACTCAGACTGGAGGAAGCTGTCTTAACAGCCCAAGGAGAAAGAACTTTGTTTTTGTTCTTTCAAAGGGGAAAGTCTCTGTTTCTGTTTTACAACTTTATGAAGCCAAGGAACAAACCAGACATAAATTCTGATTCTGTTTTCAGACTATGTCTGCTGAACTCTGTCATTTGCCATGGTATGCTATTTGCTGGAGTTTGGACAAACAATTTTTTTTTTTTTTTTGCAGTTTTTGGCCAGGGCTGGGTTTGAACCCACTACCTCCGGCATATGGAGTCAGTGCCCTACTCCTTTGAGCCACATGCCCATGGGCAAACAATTTTAATAGGAAGAATGACCTCTGGTGGGGGTCAGGCTCAGTGGCTCACCCTATAATCCCAGCACTTGGGAGGGCCAGATGGGTGGATTGCCTGAGGGGCAAGAGGATCTCTTGAGCCCAAGAGTTTGAGGTTGCTGGAACTATGACACCACAGCACTCTACCCAGAGCGACAGAGACATTGTCTCAAGAAAAGGAAAAAAAATTGAATTGATAAGAAATAAATCATTTAGTTCAAAGCTGACCCCTACTTTGCTACTACCTGTTCACATATCAGTGTATGCATACAAGATTAAAGCTGTTTATTTTTTAGAGACAGAGTCTCACTATGTCACCCTGAGTAGGGTGCCTTGTCGTCACAGCTCACAGCAACCTCAAACTCTTGGGCTTCAGTGATTCTCTTGCCTCAGCCTCCCAAGTAGCTGGGACTACAGGCGCCTGCCCCAACTCCTGGCTATTTTTTTTTTTTTGTAGTTGTCATTGTTGTTTGGCAGGCCTGGGCTTGAACCCTCCAGCTCTGGTGTATGTGGCTGGCGCCCTAGCCGCTGAGCCTAAAGCTGTTTAGTAAGTGGTTTGAGTACTACTCTTAAAAAAGTGGTACACTGTTTCTGAAAAGACAGTGCCACATCATGTAGAACCTCTGGTACTGTTCACTCCTGAACAGAAACTGGCCACAGTAATTCTATCCTTTCTAGCCCTTAAGTCTGGCAGTCTGAGGTGGCTGCGCCTGTGCAGGAGCTGTGGGTTATATGGAGAAGGAAGGAATGATAAACACACGGTTGCACTGGGGACAGTTCAGATTTTTTTTTTTTTTTAGACAAAGTCTTATTATGTCGCCCTTGGTAGAGTGCTATGATGTCACAGCTCACAGCAACCTCAAACTCTTAGGCTTAGGTATTATCTTGCCTCAGCCTCCCAAGTATCTGGGACTATAGGAGCCTGCCTCAATACCTAGCCATTTTTTTTT